TTTTGTGTGTACCCAAAATTAAAAATAAAAGAATAAAAATAATCATTTCTCTTATCCCCACCATCATCCCATCATGACAATAATACTAATTAAAAGAATATAAATATGTGAGTTCATATCAAGTTTGAGTCCCGGATATCTTAATTAAGAATAAGATATTACAAAAAAGAATTAAAGAGAAAATGAACAAGACATTTGGATAATTGAGAGAAAATTTTATATTAATGAAACTAATAATTTTATTAGATGGACAATTTAGTTGGATCCCCATTTAAGAGTTGGATTACATTATAATAAATTAGGGTTGATTTAAAATAGTTTAATAGGAAGATATCATGAAATTAATTGTTTTTTCAATATTATTTTCAAGTGTATCGGGTCAAAATATGAATCATAAGTGATTTTATAGAAAAATAATTTTTTTTAAAATATCATTTTTATTATTTATTTGAGAAGGGTTTAAATTTGGACCAATCGCATTAAGCAATATAATAAATAAACATTTAATAATTTTACTTTAAGGGAGCTATTAAAAATAAGGGCGAATATGAGTCAAAGGATTAACATCAAGGGTATTTTTGAACCGAAAGGTGAATGTCAGGGGTATTTTAGGGCGATAGGTGGATGGAGGGTAATTTTGTTCCAATTCAAATACTTGAGGGGCATTTTAAACCCTTCTCCGTTTTTTTTAAAAAGTAAATGGTAATTAAAGAGCAAAAAACCAAAAAAAAAGTTTACACTAATACTCTCCGCTCACTTTTACTTATCACTATGATAAAAATATATTTTTACTTTTACTTGTCACTTTTAGGCTTTAGCATATCAAGTAAAAAAATATTTTTTCTTCATATTTTATCCTTAATACACATTACTTATTCCCTAAATTATTTTCCAATGACCTAAAACTATACATAAGAGTATATTCAAATATAATACTCATATTGATTAGTCATTGTTTTGTAAGGGGCATACAAAGTTTAAAGTGGACAAATAAAAATAAACAGAGACAGTAGCAAGTTATGTAACACCAACATCCTGTCTATGGCAAAGTCTATGAATGGTCCGACTTGGAGTCATAATCGAAGATGACACTTGCTTAATAGACTTAATTAAAAAATAAAGCCACACTTTTGCTATCAACTAACTTTTGATACGATAGTAAACAACATGCTGCATGAGGGGAATTTTCGGGCAACACAAAAATCCTGCCTATGACAGGACCATGAGGAGGGTTGGGGTGGCCCGCACCAGAGTTTCACTTGTAAATTTTCGAATTTCGTATTTTAACCATTCAGGAAGGCTAGGACAAATGAGAAGAAATTACGAATAGGTAAAAATTTCTCAAATTTTAATTGAATTCTCTTTGAGTCATTTCATCAAACACCTTACATGCAAATCACGAGTTGCTTTAATTTCACATAGAATATGCTTTTTTGGTAGTGGATTTGTGGTAGTGACTGATTCCCTGTAAAGTGAATTGAAGTTTGTAAATGTAGAAGTCGATTTGTTTGGTACGCGAGATAAGGTGAGATATCCCATAATTAAGTTTGAAACAAAATTTATTTATACGGTATTTGATTGACGATATAAATTTATCCACCGTTAATCAAACATAATATAAATTTTATCCCATAGACTTTTACATATAAATTTATGCTTCGCGTTGAAAGTACTGAGTTTAGATGAATGCGGTACTGTACATGAGATAGAAATGAGTCAAGGACTCTATGGAGCATTATTGAAGGTTTCAGTTTTATAAAGTAAGAAAAAGATAAGCTATTCTATGCTGTAAGGGCCCAGACGTGGAAACAACATGAAAAAGTGAAAAGGGGATTGTTCTTTTTTTATAACCCACACATTAGGAGCGGATAGCTTTTGCCTAGATCATGTATATGTATTAAAAAATCTAGTAGAATATCTAAAAATATTTGATTGTAAACCCAATTAGGATCTATGTTGCTCGGACTCTCAAAAAATATCATGTTGGATCCTCCAAAAATGCACTGGTTTTGAAGGATCCGACAAATTAAATCAATCAACATTTTTGGACAGTCCAAGGGGCTTAGATTATGATTATACATTAACTTGAGGTTATTGTAGGAATCTACTTCTTTTTAGACTGTTTTTTCTTGAGCGGACGATGTGACAAAAACAAACCTAGCTCTTTACCTTTTTGGTAGGGTAAGGTCTGGGTATGTTTTACCA